AAAACACCATATTGTACTGCAGCCATGCACTGCTTGAAATACTCGTACAACCACCACCTACCCTCTCATCATTTCCTTCCAATTTTACACGACATTCTTGGAAAAACCCGTACATGCGAGACGTCTGTGCCTCCTCGTGATTTCCACGAAGAAGCAAAACATGAGTAGGGTACTCTATCTTTAACGCAAGCAAAAGAGTGATTACTTCAACACTGCGTGGGCCACGATCCACGTAGTCGCCCAAAAATAAAAACTTATAAACTGAGCCCAAAGGCCTACTGGGAACACAGTCCTCCTCTTGCTGCACTAACTGCATCGATAGTACGTTTTGTAAGAGGTCTGCAAACTGACCATGAATGTCGCCAACAATAATCAGGTTATCCTTTTCAGTGACATCAATATCTAGCACGACACTCTCCTTCTCCAGCACCTTCTTTGCATCCTCACAGAGGGCAATGGCCATGGGAGCACCTCCAGGGAGAGCGTCAGTAATGGGGATATTTTGCAAGAGATCTGAAATCAGTCTGGTGTATTTATTAATTGCAGGTGGAACGGTTCTTGGGGGATAAAAATAAACCGTTTCGTCATCCCAATCCCGTTGATTATCATGCATTCTGTTCATCCACAACCCTAAAAAAAAATATTTTTCTCTCTCGCTCACTCTTTCTCTATATGTATGTATGTATGTATGTATGAAGTGAATGCGTGTGTCTTCCTAGTTTTAGTTGCTGTTATGTGAACACACTTACTACTTCACCTTCGTAAGTGAAATGCAATCCTGTTACTGGCGCAAAGAAAGGGGAGAACAATAGAGAGGCGCAATCGTGTCTGCAGGGATGGCATGACAAAACCCAAATGGCAATTCAAACCCACCGCAAAGAAAAGCAGCAAGAAAAAAAAAAAAAAATCGAGGCAATAAATATTTGCAGCAATGAGCCAACAGAATGCTCAGACCGCAAAGCTGAAATTTTCAGAATCAGCATTCGCATCGACACCACGCAGCAAACAAATACATGAAAAAAGTGACAAATGTGGACATAAATGGAAGAGAAAAAAACGGGGGGGAAAAAAAAGGGTATGATGAGAGAGACCGACACGTCAACGGAAGCAACCTTTTTAAAAGAGGGAAAGGATGGAGAAGAAAAACTTTCATGATTCTTAATTTTACTACGTTTTCCTCTTTCGGCCAACTGAAGTGAAGATGACGCGTGTATTCCACGTCTACACACACACACACAGTCAGATAGAGTGATGCATATTTATATTTATATGTATATGCATGCATGCGTACATATCCCTGCCGCCGCACTGCGAGAGGGGCAGGTGAATGCCCGCAATGTAAAGAAGATCTTTTCTGTTGTTCTCCACGCAACCAAACAAGAAGAATGAAATGGTGAAACGAAAAAAAAAAAAAAAAAAGACGCACGCACAAAAAAATCGTTTGAAGAAGTTTTTAAAAAGTTGTACGTTTGTTGTTTTGTTTCGTCTTTTTTTTTTTTTTTCTTTTTTCGTTCGTGCTTTTTTACGTTTTTTTGGGAAAATTTGTTTTCACCCACGCCTTTTTTTTTTCTTCTTTCACGTCATCCCCTTGCATGCATGCATGCACGTGGATCACCTGCATTCCTCTCCTATAAAGTAAGAATTCATAAATAAACGTCATTCTGACAAGAAAAAAAAATTCCTATTGTGTGTGTGTGTTTGGGTGGGTTAGAGTTTCCCTTTTTTTTTTTCTTTCTTGTTGCTGTTCCCATTGAACCATCCACAAATAGCGGTGATCGCATTGGGTTTCTTCTCCACATGCCCATGAGGGATAAAGCTTGTGTCAGACCTGTTTGCAGAGAGGGCGTAGATCGCCAATTCATTTGACACCGTGAACTTCAGATTCCCTCTTTTTCCTGCTATTCTCATACAATAACACCCTTTTTTTATCCACCACCCCCACTGGACTTTTCCTGCCGCTCCTCACAGGCGCCAAAGCTGTTTTTCTGCTGGTGCTACATCGTCTACCAAGGTGTTTCGCATTATCGTCTTGCGAGGGCCAACTACTGGGTAGAATAAAGTCGCCCAATCTGGCAAGCGTTGTTTCCGTGTCACTGATAGGATTTGCACCACTACTAAACGGAGCGGATCCTCCCACGGGATTTAACTTTTGACTACTCACAGGCTCCTTGGAGGAAGAAACCTTCGCCATTTCCACATCCCTGGATGCGTCGGTATTCAACGGGGGAAGGAAGCCTCCAGGGAGCCCCTTCAAACGCGTATTGGGGGGTTGCGTCCGTTCTCGCGTTGCTGGTGGAGCCTCATCACGCATAGGAATGAGGGAGGGGACAATAACACGTGGTGGCACCAGTGAGGGCGGCATGACGCGACCCTGCGTGATACTGGAGAGCCCACCATCGGAGGAGTACCCAATCACACTTTCGCCGCCAGGAGAATTCGCAAGTTCTTTCCTCTGAAGCCTTGCACTAATAGCTTTCGGGGGACTGAGGGTGCGTGGTTTATCCCCCGGGTTTCCTGCAAGCCGCTCCCCCTTCAATCCACATCCACTAACATCATCGCCCGCAAACACTCCGCGCGTGACTTCAGGGGAAACAGAACTCCCGCCATCGCCTTTGCTTCGCGGCGAGGGAAAGACTGGATGAAGCAGCGGCACATATCCGCTGTCCGGTCGCACACCACGAAGAAGTAATTCCTCTTCCCACGTAATGCTTGAAACCCGCGATCCCACCCCCGCAGTAACCCCCTCTAACGTCCGTTGCTGCGCAAACATCACTTACTCGGTGGTGACAATTATCACCGCCTTCAACTGTAAAACAAACCACAACAAAATCCACAAGCGCAAAAATAATAATAATAATAATAATAATAATAATAATAATAATAATAATTGGACGTGCAAAGTTGGTTGGTGCCAGAGTCTAAGCTGAAAGGACAGCAACACGGCAAGCACAAAGAAACACCAAAAATGAAGAAGCAAACACACATCGTAAATCCCTCGGATATTCACGATCTTTTTGTTTTTGTTACCATATGTACTATACATAAGTCCTCTCACTGTGAGAAAAACAGGAAAGAATTTGGTTTAAAAGGCGCTATAGCTTGCAGCTTCTTCTTTTTTTTTAAACATCCTCCTCGTCTTCTTCCTCTTCCTCGGCCTTTGCGCGCCTTCGCGCCTCTCGGCGTTTTTCCCTCTCAATCCGTCGCTTCTCACGTCTTTTTTCGGCGTCATACTCACGCAAAAGCTCGTTTCGCCGCACCACCGCGTTTTGGAGAACAGCCTTCCATTTTCTCATGGAACTTCCCGTCGCGATAACTCGGGGAGCGTCCGCAACGTCGTCTGAAATCCTTACACATTGACCCCGGACAAAAAACATCATACATGGGGTGCTGCAGACTTCAAGGAAGGTTAGCAGTTCCATCAAATTATCATGGGCCTGCTTGTGGAGCTGCTTTTTTTGCAGCTCTGTGGGTGGTCGGTTGGTCGCAAGGAATACCGGGTCCTTTTGAAGCAGTCTCGTTATGTCCGTCTTCTCCTCGGGCACTAACGCCACGTGAAAGTAACGCACAAGGCGAGTTTGGGGCTCCTCCGAAAGGACAAAATTATTCTTCACAAAAGGCAACACGTTCGCACTAAATGGGCATAAAAATGATGTAAAAACGAGGGCACATAGGCACTCCTCCTCGGCCGCAACCGACGCTTGAAATTCCTCCATACAGCGCACGGGCACAAACCGCTTGCTCATCTCGTCCACGGAGGACTCATCACTATCTCGATCATAGTCCGACATTGTGACTGACCCCCACCGGGTATGGAGCCCTTCTTCTTATCCCTCTCTATCCGTGAGTTTTTTCTCCTTCCCGCCCTCCCTAAAGCTCTATCCTGCACCCACCCAATCCCTCTCGCAGGCCGAAGAAACCCCTTTGATGGAATGCGTCCGCCCACTTTTTCTCTCCCTTCTCCTCCCGCACAGATCATACAACCAAAAGCACAAACGCAAAAAAGAAAAAAGAAAAAATATAGAAACCCAAAAAAAAGTAGAAGCACATCGGCGTAAAAACCCTCCGTTATTTTAAGAAGCAGCCCATTGCACACGCTCCATCTCACTTTGTTGATAAATCGCCTTACGATTCATGTTTA